AACACAAAATATATTGTATTCATAAGGAAAAGGAAAGCATACCGTTGTAAAAGGAAAGGGCAAGACACAATAAGTTTATTTATAGGGAAAGGGAAAGGATACCGTTGTAAAAAGAAAGGACAAGTCAAAATAAATTGTATTTATAAGGAAAAGGAAAGGATACCGTTGTAAAAGAAAAGGCAAGACAAAATAAATTGTATTTATAAGCAAAAGGAATGGATACCTTTTTAAACGGCAAGAGCACGACAAAATAAATTGTATTTATAAGGAAAAGGAAAGGATACCTTTGGAAAAGAAAAGGGCAAGACAAAATAAATTGTATTTATAATAAAAAGGAAAGGATACCTTTGTAAAATGCAAGGGCAAGACAAAATAAATTCTATTTATAAGGAAAAGGAAAGGATACCGTTGTAATTGGAAGGGGCAAGACAAAATAAATTGTATTCATAATAAAAAGGAAATGGTAACTTCTTAAAAGAAAAGGGCAAGACAAAATATATTGTATTCATAAGGAAAAGGAAAGCATACCGTTGTAAAAGGGAAGGGCAAGACAAAATAAATTGTATTTATAATGAAAAGGAGAGGATACCGTTGTAAAAGGAAAGGGCAAGAGAAAATAAATTGTATTTATAATGAAAAGGAAAGGATACCGTTGTAAAAGGAAAGGGCAATCACAATATATTGTATTTATAATAAATATTAAAGTATACCGTTGTAAAAGGAAAGGGCAAGTCAAAATAAATTGTATTTATAAGGAAAAACAAAGGCTACCGTTGTAAAAGGAAAGTCAAGTCAAAATACATTGTATTCATAAGTAAAAGGAAAGGATACCGTTGTAAATGGAAAGGGCAAGATAAACTAAATTGTATTTATAAGGTAAAGGAAAGGATACCGTTGTAAAAATAAAGGGCATGACAAAATAAATTGTATTTATAATTAAAAGGAAAGGATAACGTTTTAAAAGTAAGGGGCAAGTCAAAATAAATTGTATTTATAATAAAAGGGAAAGGATACCTTTGACAAAGGAAAGGGCAAGACAAAATAAATTGTATTTATAAGGAAAAGGAAAGGATACCTTTGTAAAAGGAAAGGGCAAGACAAAATAAATTGTATTTATAATAAAAAGGAAAGGATATCTTTGTAAAATGCAAGGGCAAAACAAAATAAATTGTATTTTTAAGGAAAAGGAAAGGATACCGGTGTAAAAGGAAATTGCAAGACAAAATAAATTGTATTTATAAGGAAAAGGAAAGGATACCGTTGTAATTGGAAGGGGCAAGACAAAATAATTTGTATTTATAATAAAAGGAAAGGATAACGTTTTCAAAGTAAGGGGCAAGTCAAAATAAATTGTATTTATAATAAAAGGGAAAGGATACCATTGTCAAAGGAAAGGGCAAGACAAAATAAATTGTATTTATAATAAAAAGGAAAGGATACCGTTGTAAAAGGAAAGGGCAATACAAAATAAATTGTATTTATATTAAAAAGAAAGGATACCATTGTAAAAGGAAGGGACAAGACAAAATAAATTGTATTTATAATGAAAAGGAAAGGATACCGTTGTAAAAGGAAAGGGCAAGTCAAAATAAATTGTATTTATAATAAAAAGGAAAGGATACCGTTGTAAAAGGAAGGGGCAAGACGAAATAAATTGTATTTATAATGAAAAGGAAAGGATACCGTTGTAAATGGAAAGGGCAATACAACATAAATTGTATTTAGAAGAGAAAGGAAAGGATACCGTTGTAAAAGGAAAGGGCAAGACAAAATAAATTGTATTTATAAGGAAAAGTAAAGGATACCGTTGTAAATTGAAGGGGCAAGACAAAATAAATTGTATTTATATTAAAAAGAACGGTTACCTTTGTCAAAGGAAAGGGGAAGACAAAATAAATTGTATTTTTAATGAAAAGGAAAGGATACCGTTGTAAAAGGAAAGGGCAATCACAATATATTGTATTTATAATAAAAATTAAAGGATACCGTTGTAAAAGGAAAGGGCAATCAAAATAAATTGTATTTATAAGGAAATGGAAAGAATACCGTTGTAAAAGGAAAGTCAAGACAAAATAAATTGTATTTATAAGGAAAAGGAAAGGATACCGTTGTAAAAAGAAAGGGCAAGTCAAAATAAATTGTATTTATAATAAAAAGGAAAAGATACCTTTGTCAAAGGAAAGGGCAAGACAAAATAAATTTATTTATAATAAAAAGAAAGTATACCGTTGTAAAATGAAAGGGCAAGACACAATAAGTTTATTTATAAGGAAAAGGGAAGGATACCGTTGTAAAATGAAGGACAAGTCAAAATAAATTGTATTTATAAGGAAAAGGACAGGATACCTTTTTAAACGGCAAGGGCAAGACAAAATAAATTGTATTTATAAGGAAAAGGAAAGGATACCTTTGTAAAAGGAAAGGGCAAGACAAAATAATTTGTATTTATAATAAAAAGGAAAGGATACCGTTGTAAAATGCAAGGGCAAGACAAAAGAAATTGTATTTTTAAAGAAAAGGAAAGGATACCCGTGTAAAAGGAAAGGGCAAGACAAAATAAATTGTATTTATAAGGAAAAGGAAAGGATACCGTTGTAATTGGAAGGGGAACGACAAAATAAATTGTATTTATAATAAAGAGGAAAGGGTATCTTTTTAAAAGAACAGGGCAAGACAAAATATATTGTATTCATAAGGAAAAGGAAAGCATACCGTTGTAAAAGGAATAGGCAAGACAAAATAAATTGTATTTATAATGAAAAGGAAAGGATACCGTTGTTAAAGGGAAGGGCAATACAAAATAAATTGTATTTATAATAACAAGGAAAGGATACCGTTGTAAAAGGAAACGGCAAGACAAAATAAATTGTATTTATAAGGAAAAGGAAAGGATACCGTTGTAAAAGGAAAGGGCAAGACAAAATAAATTGTATTTATAATAAAAAAGAAAGGTTACCGTTGTGAAAGGAAAGGGCAAGATAAAATAAATTGTATTTATAAGGAAAAGGAAAGGATACCGTTGTAAAAGGAAAGGGCAATCACAATATATTGTATTTATAATAAAAAGTAAATTGAACCGTTGTAAAAGTAAAGGGCAATCAAAATAAATTGTATTTATAAGGAAAAGGAAATGATACCGTTGTGAAATCAACGTCATGACAAAATAAATTGTATTTATAATTAAAAGGAAAGGATAACGTTTTAAAAGTAAGGGGCAAGTCAAATTGAATTGTATTTATAATAAAAGGGAAAGGATACCTTTGTCAAAGGAAAGGGCAAGACAAAATAAATTGTATTTATAATAAAAAGGAAAGGATACCGTTGTAAAAAGGAAGGGCAATACAAAATAAATTGTATTTATAAAAAAAAAGGAAAGGATACCATTGTAAAAGGAAAGGGCAAGTCAAAATTAATTTTATTTATAAGGAAACAAAGAATACTTTTGTAAAACGAAAGTGCAAGTCAAAATAAATTGTATTTATAAGGAAAAGGAAAGCATACCGTTGTAAAAGTAAACGGCAAGACAACATAAATTGCATTTAGAAGAGAAAGGAAAGGATACCGTTGTAAAAGTAAAGGGCATGACCAAATAAATTGTATTTATAATAAAAAATAAAGTATACCGTTTTAAAAGAAATGGGCAAGTCAATGTAAATAGTATTTATAAGAAAAATAAGAAGAATAAACAGTCTTATTATAGGAAAGAATGCTGACGACGTCAAAAGGTAATAAGTAATCCAGCAGTTAGAAAGGAAAAGGAAAAGAAACTGTGTGGGCGAGAAAGAATGGTTTATTTACATAAAAGCATGACCGTAACAAGGAAGCACCGTAAAGCAAAGGTATATGAAATAATTAGTGAAGGTGGTGAATTGCCGTGTGGTGTTAGATTAAATAAAAAATAAAATGGGTAGGACGGGGTGAGTAAGTATTTTCAGATTAAGAAAAATACCTCCCCGTACAGCAGTGACAGGTGTTGATAGATTAGAATTCCCTAATGTGAATGTAGGAATGTCATATCTAGTGATTCCCGAATCAGAATCTCATTCTGAGTATGATGAAGTATCTATATTAGAGACTATAGTGAGCGAAAATGTCCCTATAATGTTGGCTTACATCACAAGTAAAACAATGCGCGTACTGCTTGGAAGGAAGCTGGGCAGTGCAGTGGTGGTAAACATTAAAAGCCAGGGAAAATATGGGGTAAAAAGCGCACTTGTAGCAATGTCTTAACAAAGTTTTATCCCGACGAAATTAAAGGAAGTTTATATCAACTATTAAAAGCCAATTGAGATGTAATGGCAAACTCGGATACGGAGTGAACATGAAAATAGGTACAGGCGAACAACCATCTGTTAAATTTTAAGACCATACAGAAAACCGATCTACAAACGAGGACTAGTAGGAGAGGCTGTTCAAGAGATATTGCTCACAGGAATTGTAGTAGGGTCACAATGTTATTGGTGTTTTCCTGTATTAGTTGTAGTGAAGAAGACTAGAGAACAGATTCTGAGCCTTAAACAAGATCACTAAGCCTCTGACTTATCTTCTACCGCTTATTGACAGAAAAGCTACCAGTTTTTTTCTTCTCTTTGACTTGCAAGCTGGATATTAACAATATCTATGGACGATGCCGGTAGGTAAAAACAACATTCGCAGACCACCTCGGACGGTATTAATTTTTAGGGTGATGCCCTTTAGTCATGCCGGTGATCCCAGAATCTTTCAACAACTAATGTCAATAGTACTGGTCGGGCTGGAGTAGTTTAAATAGGTATGTCGGCTTCGTTATCAATAAAAATGGAGTGAAACCAGATATAGATGTGGTTTGAAGTGATAAGATTCCATTCGCAGCTCGTAGTTTGAGCAGGGTGGGCTTGGCGGTGTGGTCGTTCTGATAGGGTGCCACACTGATGGCCGCACCTGTGTCTACTAGGAATTTCAGTTTATTCCGGCGATCCCGAACATAGAATAGACGACATTGTGTGTTGTCACCGGATGAGTTAGTCGTCGCCACCCTCCGGTTTACTCGTTTCCCCGAGCCGACGGGTGTGTACAGGGAGGTCTGCAGTTCCTGGCTCCATCGCCAAATGTGCGAGGAAACCAACAAATGCCCTGGTCGCTTCGCCGTTCTCGACTGGGGGTTCTTCGATGTTGTCGAGACGGGGTCGGTTTCCTTGTTCGTGGGTGCAGGGAGATCTGGATTTCTCGTATTTGTCTTTGCAGGTCCGCCAACGCCCGTTCTGTCTCACTCCGCTCGTAGCGTTCGGGCTTTGCTGTGTCGGGGGTGTGAACTGCGTTAACGCCGTGGTGAAACTGTGCAAAAACAAGGTCGGCGGATTCTGCCAAATCATCCAGAGGCGTGGCTCTCGTCATTGGGGCGATAATCTGAGCGACTTCTCGGATACATTGTGCTTTCCCAGCTGGTTCCTCATATACCTGAGAAGTTGGGTAAGCGTCTTGTCACCTCTGGTAACGTTTCGTAGGATCTCTTGAATCATGTCCTCCTCGGAACGCCCAGTACGCTTGAGGATCGCTTCCTTTAAGTGATTGTACGGTTTGTGTTCGCACAAATCAGAGAGGACATCAGAAATTTCGTCCATCATATCGGATGGAAGTTTCTGCATCACATTTGCAAATCTAGCTCGCTGTGAAGTGATACGTAACATGGAAAAAATCGATTCTACCTGCAAGAACCAGTTCTTTGCATTATGGTGGTATGCAGGTAGCGGTATGATTGCGGCCGTCATGTCTGTAGAATCACTCTTGACCGACTCCATCATCGCTTAGCTGTCTCACGTAGGGAAGTCACCACTTGTTGCAGGGCCGATAAGGAAGTCACCCCCGCAAGCTTTAGGAAGAAAGGTGTGAACAGCTAAGACAATGAGGGGACAAAGGCAAATGTTTTTGAAACAATAAACGTCGATTTTATTTATCCAAAATGTACAAGATTGTACTGATGGAGGAGTATGTTGGTATCGGTGTTGGGTCCGGTATGACTGGTTTCGGCGGCGGTAGCTGGTCGACTGCCGGATGGGAGAATTGTCGGGGACAGCAGCTGATTGATTGGTGACGAACTAAGATTCGTTGGGTCGGTTAGGACGAATCTCTAAACAGGGCCAAGTAGGTGTAGTGATACGACTATCGCGCCGAAGCGTAGCACTTGACGAAGTCCCTAAACAGGGCCAAATCAGAGTAGTGATACGACTTCCAGGGCGGATCAACCATGTAGGCGGGATCGTACCGAAGTGTAACACTTGACGAAACTGGTCAGAGAGGTGATACGTTTTCCAGGGCGGGTCGACCGCGGAAACGGGATCACGCCGAAGAGTATTCTCTCAACAAAGCACCGGAAGCTCACAAAGGTAGCGTACTACACTTTAATCCAGGCCCCCAGGCCGATCAGCTAGGATTTGAACGAAAAAAGGGGCTAACAATATGTGGAACGATTTGTTCAAGTACTCCCTGGCTAGAGGGAGTAGAAAACCGTAGATATAAATTTACTCCCCATGTTGTTCGATGTTTGGAGAGCGCTGCCTAATCCGATGCTCACGAGGTACGCTTTTGGAGTCAACTATATTGTCCAGTTTCTCGCCTGCTGCTGGACTTAAATCTGCGAGATCAGGGGTTGTGAAGGTCAAGGTCGTTTTTCTAAGGAGCAGCTAATGGCGGCCGCGACAACATTGCATTTAATTTTTTGCAGATTAAAGTTAGCATGGAACTAGAAGAGAGTTTCACAAGTGAGAATTGCAAGAAAAGAAACCGTTAGCATAGAATTTACAGTTACATCTAGCTAGCTCAACTGTAAAATAATTGATGAGATCTCAATGCTAGTCTAGTACTGTGATTAAATTTATAGAGTCTAGATACCATAGCGAAGAGCTCATCTGAACAATCACCATGAAAGTAATTATAGAAAAGGTACAGAGAAGGCAATCTTACGGCGGTGGGTAAGTGACTGAAGCTGAGTCGCCAGATTAAGACAAATAATATTGCTAATTCTTCTTTGGATCTTATCAAAGAGATCAAGGTAAAGAGCAAGGACACTGGACATATGCGCCAGAAATATTCTAAGCATGGATGAATGATAAACTTATAGATAAGATAGATTCCGAAGAGAAAAATTGTCTTTATGGTCACAGTGAACTAAAAAAAAAAAAAGCAGCTGACCTAGCAATTTTAAATATAGTCTTTCCACTTTATGTCAGCTAAACGTTAGCCATCTCATGAGTCAAAGATCAGATGTTAACATCAGCCATACTGATGAAAGGCAAAGAGAAGTCTCACATATGATTAATAGAGAGAAGTTTGGTTTTGGAGGCGTTAAAATTGACAAGCCAACTTTTGCCCCAGTTAATGACGGACATGAGGTCGTTTTGTACATTGGCTGCCATTTTGACCATGTCAGATTGACCAGCTTTATTATCGAGGCAGAAGTAAATGATTGTGTCGTCAGCGTAGATGCCAAGTTGGAAGCTGATATCATCGGTCATTTATATAGTCGTTAATGAAAAAAAAAACAAAAATCGGGAAAAGATGATTTTCAGTTAGACTGTTTTCAACATCTAGATGAGAAATGCCATTCATGTTACCTAAGAAAGATCTGATTCAAAATCTGTCCGGAGACAATGTCAATTTTATTATGTGGAAGAAGACCTGTATGCCAGACCCAGTTAAAAAATGTCCAGTGTAATGCTCGGAATAAATTTTATCTAGGTCATATTCCCTATTTTTATTTAATTATATATGTATGTAAATGAACTGGATGTCTGTATTTCAAGTATTGAATTTTAAAACTTGTGATATATATAGAGATGATATATAAATAAATAAATATATATATATATATATTCATCTTATATATAACAACATTCATGTTTAATGTGATTTTATATTGGACAAAAAAAAAAAACACTAGTAAAAACTTTGAATTCCCACCTTTTATTCTATTTTTGCAATATATTTTAAGAATTGCATAAATAAAAAAATTATGTATAAAATATTCAAATTTCCTAACAAAACTTGTTTAAGAGAAAAGACTAAGAAACCTTATTCATTGTGCCTGTAAATATGGAAATAATAAATTTTAACATGTTGCATATTAAAATAAATTTCATGGATGTAATACAAAAAAATGCATGAATTTAATATAATGTCAAGTGTGAACAAAAAAACTTATTATTTTTTGTCTTAAAAAACAAATTTCAATCTCTTAAAAAAATTATAAAATATTAAAAACATTAAAAAAAACACATTAGATTAGTGATGATTTTTATTTTTATTTATTTTAGTTAGATTTTAAAAAAGAAATAAATTTAATAAAATAATTTTTTTAAAATATTAAATTTGAATTTTCATTATTCCTAATTGTTTTAGCAATTACCTAGGAAATTAAAAATTATTACACTTATTTTACAGTTTTAAAATAAAATAGAAAATACTTTATTAAATAACAATTTTGTATTTGATATTAAAATAATATTTCAAAGGGTGTAATATTGAATGAAACAAAAGAAACATCCCTATTCTTTACAACAGCCACCTGCTTTTTTTCCAAGTTTCAGTAAAAAAATAATGCCAAACATTTTACCATTGTTTATTTGTTTAATTTGTATAAGAAAACCGTTATCTAAATTTGGCTGATATATTTGAATATTATAATTGAGATTTTTAAGAATAAAAATCAATAAAATAAAAAATCAAATTCGGGTATCAATAAAAATTAAATATATAAATGTCTATTGAATAAAAAGCTACAAAAACAGTATTGTTCAAATATCAAAAAAAAATTTGTATATTTCAAAAAAAACTATAAAAAATTATATTTTATAATTTTATATATATATATATATATATATATATATTGATATATATATAGATATATATATATATTAATATATATTTATATATATATAACAAGATAAATGAAAATCCTTTTAAATAAAATACATTTTTTTCTAAATTCACATGGTTCTCTATTTAAATATATAATATATTTATCATATATTTATATATCTATACATTTTTAAAGATAAAACAAAAAAGCCATAGCTATTATGTCTGATCTTCTGCAACTTCACCATTGAGGTGCATTTGTGTTTAAACTGTCCAAAAGTTAGTTATGATATTGGCATATATATATATATATATATATATATATATAATTAGATATGTGATTTCAAAATTGTTTTAATCTATCAATTATAAAGAAAATTCATGTCTTGTTTGATTTTTTTAATTTTTCATTCTTTTCCTTTGGTCTTAATGTTTTGATTAACTAAATTATTATTAAAGTTTTTTTTTCAAAGAATTTTTTTTTTTTTTTTCTTTATATATTATATATCATATATATATATATATATATATAATATATATATATATATCTGATATATAAACATTTTTTTTATTTTGAATTTTTTGCTGTTTTTTATATGTATTATAAACATTAGATATTAAATAATTCAAAAAATTGGGATTAAATTATGTGTGTCAAATCAATTTATGTGTGTGTGATATTAAAAGATGAAAATTTTGAATATAATTATGTGTGTTAATTTTGAAAATAATAGAAATGATTGTTTTGCATTGTGTCATTAATTTTTAAATTTAAAAATATATATAATATATGATAAAAAAAATTTAAGAAATATCAATTAAGGTTTTATTTTTTTTTTTTCATTTTGTTTTCAGACCTCATCTGTGCATTTTTTTGTAAGAAATTTGTTATGTAACTCTATTCATTTTTGTAATTGTCATAAATTTTAAATAATAAAATTTGGGAGGTATCGAATATGAAAATCACTGGGTTTTTTTTAAAATTGGAATATTAGTTGGTGACTTTTATATATAATTATAACACATATAATGGTTATATATATATATATATATTTATAAACTGGCCTTTGTATATATAAGGTCAAAAACCATTAACCTGTTGATATTGTGATAGTGTCTCATTGAGTTTCCTTATTAAAAATGACAATTTATCAAACAAATATGGAACTATCAGAGCAAAAACCGTCATATATTGACACACAGATCAACACCAAACCTATTTGTTTTCAAATTTTTTCATTTTTTTCAACACATCAAACATGAAACAGATTACAAAATTCAAAATGATCTTGTATCAGTGCTCAATGATATATATTTTAAATAATTATATATTTTTTTTTTTTGATTTTTTTTTGATGAGTATAACTTTTGATATAAGCATTTCATGTCAATATGGTTTTTTTTTCAGATTAAATAAAAAACAATTTCAATCAATCCTGTTATAAACCATATTTTAATAATATTATATATATATATATATATGTCTCATATATTATATATATATTTTGAAGGCAAATTTTCCCCAAATAAAAAAAAGATTATCTGATTATAATCTTTTTAATTATAATAATCTTGAATTTGTTCTTTCAAAATCTAAAATTCCCATTACTATTTTTGAACTAAATAGGACCATTTAAAAATAAAATGCAAGGGTTGGTCCCTGAAACTGTACCAACAGGATTTTCGAATCATAGGAAAATGAATTAAAAATTTTTGGTTTTCAAAAAAATGACAAATCAACATTAATGGGTTATAACAAATGAATCTAATTTTTTTTTTGTGAAAAATTTTGTGAATATGCATTAAATATTTT